AACACAATGATATTAGCCTAAAGTGGCTCAACTGATGTGTTTGACATATGTGTAACTCAGCAAATACATACACCAATACAATCTTTTCATAGCCAGTTGAAAGGTCAGACAAGCCTGTACCCCATCTTTCTGGGCCCTGAGTCACCAAATTTCTGAATGTGACTTTCCAACAAAAGCAACCTCATGTGGGCTGCAGGCAGCTGCCTCAGCTTGTGGATCACTTTGGCCAGCATGTTGTACCTCCTTGTTCGAATCAAGGCCAACACCAAGACTCCATAGTTGAGCCAGCCTGTCTTGAATTTCACATTGGTGAATCCATCTATCTCAATCTTTGGATCTGGCAGTGGTTCATCATCTTCACCATCTTCTTCTGGAATGTCTTCACCATTCCAGTCTGGATTCTCCATGGCCCACATCCCATCTTCATACCAATGATCCTGGATCTTCACTGCCTCTGTCAAGTTGATGGCATCTCGATCTGCAGCTTCTGGAGCATAGAACTCAGGCTCTCGAGCAAACTTTTCAGAAAAGGTTGATTCATAGTCTTCGTCCCCATCAGTCTTTTGTGACTTCAAATGTCCAGCATCACTGTGGCCTGCTGAGTTGAGCTGCTCCACAAACCCACCTGACAAGACATCAGTCTTTTCACCAGTGGACTCTTCCCAATTTCCATAGTTCCAACCTTCCCACTGCCATGTTGCATGGTCATCATCAGCTGCAGATCCATCCACTTGTTCATTGGTGGTTTTATCATCTTTGTTGCCGTAGGTCTCCACAGGGTGCACTTGCTTCTCTTGAAGCTGGTCATCATCAGATGCTTGGGTCACCTCTTCATTCTTATAGGCATGTTCATCTTGCCAGGCATCATCTTGCCAGTGCTTGTAGCCATCATCCCAACCTGCACTGCCATACCATCCATCAGCACCAGAAGTATAGCCTTGCTGGTAGCCACCTGCCCAATCATGGCCACCATAGTCATAGCTTTGAGAAGACCAGTCCTGAAGCCAATCAAAATGAAACATCAGCTTGCAAAGGGTACATACACATTAGCAAAATGAATGCCAAGAACAGCCACCATGAACTCAAGAGTTTCTAGCATTAATGAATGCAGAAAAGGTAAAACAATAAGGAAACCACTTACTGGTTCACAGCCGTGGTTCATTGCAGCACCATGCACACCACTTCCTGGCCTTGGAAGATGTCCACTCATCATTTGACCAGTCCCATGACCTTTTCATGTTGTTCATGGCTGTTTTGAGCCTACAGCCACAATGAAAAGAATTGAGCTAAATGTTTATCCACATAACCAGGGCTAGTGGAACACAATATATTTAAAGCCAAGTTGGCTAATGTGCTGTCCCAACAAAAAGAGTGAACATAGCCAATGGGCTAATGACTTTGAAATAAACAAAGTAAAGTGAACATAGCCAATAGGCTAATGTGCTAGACATTGAAGCTTGAGAAGTTTGTGAGCCAAGAGGCTAATGTGTAGTTGCAAGAAGTACAGCCAGCAAAGGCCAATGTGTTCACAACATGAAGCTTACAGAGCTAATGTCTTGACATCCCTGTGGGCAGTGTCACTGTTGGAAAAATAGATTGGTTTCAACTTCAACAAAATTACAGCACACTCCATACTGAATCTTTTCCACAAGTCTGCGAGCGCAAGCCTTTGGCTTCTTCACTTCTTAGCCTTTTTCTTTGGCTGAGAAGAAGTGGCACAAGAACTGGAAGGTTTCACCAACAAGGTGTCAGAGCTTATGGGGCCACTCTGGTTCACCAAAACAGGCAAACTCACCTCCTTGACAATTACCTGCTTGATTGTCATGTTGCATGTCTCAGCATCATCTGATGCCTGCACCCATTGGTATGGAATCAGGACGCCTGGTGCATCTGCTTCAGCTTGGGCTAAAGCCTTGTAAGGTGCCAATTGAAAATGATGTCCTTGGTACTGCAAAACCAAGCCTTTGACTTTCTTCAAATTCTCAGGCTTCACCTCCTGCACCACCCCCAATGGGAAAAGTTGCAGCTCACCTTTCTTGGCTTTGGTGCTGGTGTATACACCAGATGGGTTCAAAGAGAATTGCAACTTCTGTGGGCAAGGGTTGGCAAAGAAAGCTTCACAAATAACACACTGCACATAGCTTCTCAAATAATCACCTTGCACTTGCCCCATGGCCTGGCTGGCCAGCTTACATTCCACAAGGCCACTTGGAAGCAGCTTGGGGATCTCTTTCTTTGTTCTTTTCCATTGCTTCAATGTGTCAAATGGAGCTTCCACTGTCAAGGGTTCACCAAACATAGGAGCAAACCTGAACAGGCAATGGTTTGCCATCATTTTCTCAAATGTAAAGATCCTGTCTTCATACTGCTGGTGCACATACCTGCCACCAATCTCAAGGTGGGAATTCTGAATCAAGCAAACTTGAGCAGGACTTGCATGCAACAAGTCTTCAACCTTCAAAGCTCTATCTTTGCTTGCAGAACTCTCCCCTGCTACCTTTTTCTTGTTCAAGAGGTCTTCTGCAAATAGAGCCAGCACATCTTCAAAGCTGTCAATCTCAGGGTCTCTTCCATACTTTTGCTTTGACAATAGCAAAAGGACCATCCTCACACAAAGTTTGCCAAATGCAAAAGCTTTGGTCGATGGCTCCTTGTCAAGATCCTTCTGGCACTGGCACCATGCATCACTGAGCAAGCCTTCCATCTTGATAGTCTGGTCTTGGAGGCTCCTAGTCAGTTTGTCAAAACCACTCTTGAATATGAGTTTGCTGATGCCATCAGATGCTTTGGTTGATGTCAGCATTGCACTCATCAGTGCAACTCGAGTGAAGAGCATTTGGTTGCCTGGGACTCTGAAGTCATGGTAGCTCAACAAGGCCATGGCATCCTCTCCAATCATCAAACTAGGCCCAAATTTGAGACCTGAGCTACTTTATGACTCAAAACACATGATGGCAGTCTTCCAAGTTTGTGTTAACCATGTCATGGTAGCAAAACATAAAAATATGCTAGCTGGACCCCTGGACCCATGCAATCCCACCAATCCTTGCAAGCCTTATGGCTAATGTGAAAACACATCTTCAGCCACATGGCTAATGTAGGTGTTTCGACACAGGAAAGGCATTTACAAAACACACTGATGCATCCAAAAGGCAGAAATCCCTTAATTGCACCAGCAAAGGAAAAGTGCTCCCTCCAAGGAAGAGTCTGACAAAGTGGGCAATGTCAGGCAAGTAGTGGCTGCAACTCGGTGCAGCAGCCTTGACCAGGGCCACAGCTGATTCAATGCTATGCCCTTGCTGCAAGTATGTGGAAATCTGAAGCATTGCTTCTAGTTCACCCACCATCTTTGAAGCACTGTTCACAGAATTCAAGGTGGCCTGGCACCATGTGGCAAAAGTAGGGAATGCATCTTCCACTGCACTGCATATGGCAACCCACTGCCAGCCTTTCTGCAACAGCTCTGAAAACTCTGGATTTGGTTGCATCCTGGTACCTTCAGGTCCAAAGGCCTTTTGTTGGAGAGCCCGGCAGTACATCACAAAATGTGATGTGCCTAAGGTGACAAATCTCTCACTGCCAAGAACTTCACCCAACATGCCATTGGCTTTCAAGCACATCTGTGAGTTTGCCTGAAGCTGTGCATCCCTTTTGGAGGGGTTGATCTCCATGCAGATGCTATTGGGAGGAAGCAGCTCTGGCTTCAGGCCTGTCTTCTCTATGTGCTGTCCTTTGGCAATGGCATCATGGCCATTCACCATGGCCCCCCCTCTGTTGGCCTCATGGACCAAAAGGTCTTGAGGCTGCAGGTTCACCGAGTATGCCAAATTGTGTTTGCACAACAAAGCAAGGATCCTGTGTAACTTTGCATTGACACCGGCCTCACTGTCTAGCAGCTGCTGCATTGCATCTTTCACAGCAGCATCCATCATGGCTCACCAAACTAAGAAGTGGAAAACTGTGTGCTCTTGGAAGTTCATGTGCATTGTTTGTTGGGCACATGTGCTTGTCATGTCAGCTTTTGCATTGCAAACACCACCAGAGCACAAGCCTTTGGTTTGATTTGTGAAATCACACACACATGTCCTACATGCAAAGGCAGGAAGCAAGCAGATTTGCAAGCCAAGGGTGGCTCATGTGCAAACATCACTGGCTGCAGGTTTGTGAAGATTAAAAATAGACAGAATGATTGCAACACAGTGAGAGCTACATTTTTCAAGAGCCTTCATGCCTGCTCACTTGCTAACCTTTGCAAATTTGCCACTTCTCTGGTAAGCTCTGCTAGGGCCAGTTTCACTATCTTGTAGAAACAAGAACACTGCACTGAGTTGAGCTTTGTCCAACTTCACACAAACATCAGCTGCTTGCACCCTCTTCGGTGGGCAGAGAATTTGTACTGGTGTATTGTTGATGGTGACCTCCACAAGGTTCTCTTGCAGCTGAACTGCCTTCCTCTTAGGCTTCCTGTCACCTGCATCATCATCATCATCTTTACTCTTCCACTCACCTTTCCCCTCCTTCTCATGATTGTCCAACTTCTCATTCCTCATGGCCTTGAGCTCTAGCATCTTTTTGGATTGGCTCATAGATGCATTCTTTGCAGTTGAACCATGGATAACTCTGTTGATCTGCATGTTGGTGGAGGAGAGCTTCAAATATTTGTCTCCATCTTCATCCTGGAGCAAGGGAATGCTGCCACTTGCAACACATTAGATTCCCATGGTCACACAACCTTGTGCTAAACAACAAACACTTT